ACGTTGTAGGCCAAAGTTATCTTTATGAAATGGTTTTCTATGAACTTTAATAAAAAGTAAGACATGGGAATCTCAATTTGGGATCTCTTCCGTTAACTAAAACTTTCATCAAACTCAAACAAAACTTGAACACAATCAATCATATATATATATAGACTGAAAATAACATCCCCATATCAAAATTATAAAATGGCAATATAATATTGTCAAATACCTTACATTATAATAAAACCTTTAGTAAAAAACTTAGAGTCAATTTTTTAATTTATAAAGTCAAATATGGTCCACAAATGACATTATTTTTTCAAAATTAAAAAAATAATAGAAATTAACTTGCTCTTGAGCATGATCTTATCCAAAACTAACAAGCATTAAATTTGATAGAGTTTGATCTCACGACGAACCTTGACCAACCCAAAATTATTTAATAATATTTTACGAATTATTAGTAAACGTAAATTGTTCTGTACATATTTTTTTTTTTTTTTTTTTTTTTTAATCTATCAGGATAAATCTATTGAATCCTGAAAATTGATGATTGAAAAAGAGCTCGACGTTACCCCTATTAGTCATAAATAATTCAAACTCAAGAGTGTTTATAAAATCTTATTTTACTTCTTTACCATTTATCGACCCAATAATAATTCTTATTCGTGATTATCATTGAAGGTGAAATAAAGATACCAATGTCATTCGTAATTTTTTAATTTTTTAATTGAAAGTTTAGTCTTCCCATGATCTCATCTCTCCCTTATTAAACGGCATGTGACATTGACAAAGTTGACTGAAATCTCAAATTATAATTATTTTTCTCGTGTTTTCTGTTTAGAATTAGGATTTCAGTTTTACTTATAATTGATTATGATTTTTGTGTATTATTTAATACTTTTTTTAGGCTATAAATTAAGCCTGGAATTTCATAATTTTAACAGATACTTTTCTTTCTCTTAACATATTTGCTGTAAATTTGCCGTTCTTCGTGAATTATTTGCTCCTATATTTCAATCTTAAAGGCATGCAACTCATATTTTCTCCTTATTATTTGTTTATGAGCAAACGAAAAATTCCAGATTCCTACCTTTAAATCAACGCTGTTAGCGATTTTTAGGTTCTAATATAAGTAGAGAGTGTTATTACTATATTACTCTTGACAAATAAATTAATAAATTATTTTTTAACCCCCAAATTAATAGAATTATAAAAATAATCATGTTACTTTTAAATTTATTTTTATAACACCATCTTCTTTAATGCTCACATCATCCCCATCTCCAACCACCCATCCATTGCCACTGCCACCACCACTGAACGACAGACCCAAACACTCTGAAAATCAATCAATCAACTCCGTAAATCCCAAACAAACAATGGTTGGTGTGTGGGCGTGCACACTTGGGGGCAAGCGCTAGGTGTGGCCTTTGTCGAATCTTGGAGTGCACACTGGAAGAGGTGGAAGGTGAGAGCATTGGGAAGTGTTAGCGATCGAAAAATCAACAACACAAGCAAAAACACTACAAAAAACCGTCCTCAATATTCTTCCAACAAATCAACAAATCAAACCCAAATCATCAATCAAAACGAAAAAAAAAAAAAAAACCCTGGGGAGAGGAGACTTTGATAGGCAGTGTTTGGCAAGCAACCAGGTCGAGAAGGATGGAGGTTTAAGAGATCGGAAGTCGGTGATGTGATTGGTGGAGACGGGGATGATTTATGACGACTGGATTGATCGAAAAAGCTTGAGCTGCACCAAAATGAACCAAAGGCAGTGATCGATGAACGACAAGCAAATTGTTGTGGGATGGTAAGGGGTTTTGATCAAGTAGCCGAGGGGAGTAATTTGGTGGTGATCGGGAAGGTCAACGACAATGGAATCCGGCCAATTTGGCCTCGGTCGACAGTCGCACAAGGGTGGGTCATTTTATATTTAATTTCAGTACAAATTACCACTTTACCCTTTGTATATTTAAACGCAGTTACCATATATTTTGTGTTGAAAACAACAAAAAAGAAAAAAAATATTATTATAATTAATATGTTTGTTTTATTTTGATTTTCTGATTGAATTTAGTTATAAATAGGGTTCTGTTGCATTTGTTTCTGCTGATTAAGCTTTTGGCATCTTGCCTTTAAATAAATNATCTTATTTTACTTCTTTACCATTTATCGACCCAATAATAATTCTTATTCGTGATTATCATTGAAGGTGAAATAAAGATACCAATGTCATTCGTAATTTTTTAATTTTTTAATTGAAAGTTTAGTCTTCCCATGATCTCATCTCTCCCTAATTAAACGGCATGTGACACTGACAAAGTTGACTGAAATCTCAAATTATAATTATTTTTCTCGTGTTTTCTGTTTAGAATTAGGATTTCAGTTTTACTTATAATTGATTATGATTTTTGTGTATTATTTAATACTTTTTTTAGGCTATAAATTAAACCTGGAATTTCATAGTTTTAACAGATAATTTTCTTTCTCTCAACATATTTGCTGTAAAATTGCCGTTCTTCGTGAATTATTTGCTCCTATATTTCAATCTTAAAGGCATGCAACTCATATTTTCTCCTTAATATTTGTATATGAGCAAACAAAAAATTCCAGATTCCCACATTTAAATCAACACCCTTAGCGATTTTTAGGCTCAGACATTAGTAAAGAGTGCTATTACCATATTGCTTTTGACAAATAAATTAATAAATTACTTTTTAACCCCCAAATTAATAGAATTATAAAAATAACCATGTTACTTTCAAATTCATTTTAATAACACCATCTTCTTCAATGTTCACATCATCCCCATCTCCAACCACCACCCACTGCCACTGCCACTGCCACCGAGCAACAAACCCAAACACTCTGAAAGTCAACCAATCAACTCTAGAAATCCCAAACAAACAACGGTTGGTGTGTGGGCGTGCGCACTTGGGGGCAAGTGCTAGGTGTGGCCCTTTGTCGAATCTTGGAGTGCACACGGGAAGAGGTGGAAGGTGAGAGCATTGGGAAGTGTTAGTGATTGAAAAATCAACAACACAAGCAAAAACGCTACTAAAAACCATCCTCAATATTCTTCAAACAAATCAAACCCAAATCATCAATCAAAAAAAAAAAGAAAAAAAAAAACCCTAGGGAGAGGAGACTTTGATAGGCGGCGTTTGGCAAGCAACCGAGTCGAGAAGGATGGAGGTTTAAGAGATGGGAAGCCGGTGATGCAATTGGTGGAGATGGAGATGATTTCCAATGAACTGGATTGATCGAAAAAGCTTGAGCTGCACCAAAATGAACCAAAGGCAGTGATCGATGAATGACAAGCAAATTGTTGTGGGATGGTAAGAGGTTTTGGTCAAGTAGCCGAAGGGAGTAATTTGGTGGTGATCGGGAAGGTCGACGACAATGGAATCCGGCCAATTTGGCCTCAGTTGATAGTCGCACAAGGGTGGGTCATTTTATATTTAATTTCAGTACAAATTACCTCTTTACCCTTTGTATATTTAAACGCAATCACCATATACTTTGTGTTGAAAATAACAAAAAAGAAAAAAAATGTTATTATAATTAATATGATTGTTTTATTTTGAATTTCTAATTGAATTTAGTTATAAATAGGGTTCTGTTGCATTTGTTTCTGCTCATTAAGCTTTTGGCATCTTGCCTTTAAATAAATTTAATATTTTCCCTGTGGACAGATTCTGTAGCACAAAACCCCATACAACTTTTCAGAAAATATCTGACAATTAATTAAATATATTTCTATATATGCTTAAATTAGATATTTCTTATAGAAATTTGCATTTCTATTAAGGAAGATTTCCGTTACTTACATAAAGTATTGACAGAGATCATGTGCTATTTCTTTTTCTCTCTTTTTGTTAGTATTTTTTTTATATTCTTTAATATAAAGAAAAAATCTAGCTTATTATATGAAGTAATTAATCACAGATGGAATCATCTCTTATAATGAAAATTGGAATATGAATTATAAATTTACCATATCATTGTAGAATAGAACATATTCTATAATAATTGAATTATATTATTTATAAATATATTTGTTATTAATTCTTTGAATGATTGATGTTTTGAGAGAACAATAATGTTTTATTTATAATTGAGTCATACAAACATACCACAATTACATAAAATTTTATATAAAATAACTTTTTTATCCTTTGTTTTTTGTATGTTTGTATAATTTAATTGTATAACTCAATATTGTTCTTTGGTCATTTGAATAAATGTATTGCTCGTTAAAATAGAGAAATATATTTCTTAAAAAAAAAAAAAAGGGGCCCATACACAAACAACACTAACGTTAATTTTCCTTGTTTACTTGAAGGTGGTTTGAATTTATGTAAAGTATAGTTTGTATAATGCATTTTTCGTTATTTTCAAATGGGTATTTTCGTCATTTGTATATTTCAAGTTAATAACATATAATAAATAAAAGGACCAAAATGTTAGTGTTTGAAATGATTGTCCTTTGACGGAGCAATAATAATAGGATTCTCTGTCAATGAATCCCGCCCAATGTTTTGGCAATTATCAGAAACAACCTTCTTTACTTTTTATAAATAATTGGCCCAATCGAAGTGCATGCATTGACGAGGTTGAAAAAAACTTTAATAATAAGAAAGGAGATAGTCATAGCAGAAATAATCATAAGCATAAAAAACCTTAATTTTAAATTTCATGGAAAAAAATAAAAGAAATGTGACACGCGCTTGATGAAGGATGGAGAACACCAACCCAACATTAAAACATATTTGGATATGTATAATAATAATAATATTTCTGAAAATATTTGTCATATGATGCACGAAGACAAAGTCTGTAGACTTCTTGACTTCAGCCTTGAGAATTTCACTATATTTAGCACTCTTATCTTCATTTTGCTGCCTCGTTTCATGCTCTGTAATTTCATCTCCATTTAATGCATATAGAATAATTTCTTTATGTTTAACAGTAGGAAAAAAAAAAGAGGCAACCATTGTTTGTGAAAAATGGAGGGAGGAGTTCATGCAGACGCTGATATTCAGCTTTTAGAGAGTGTTTCTCTTTGACATGGAAGACCCTTATGTTCTCCGCCTTGCTTTCTCTGCCGGAATCGGCGGCCTCCTCTTTGGCATGACACAGGTTTTTTTTTTTTTTTTTTTTTTTTTTTTTTTTTTTCATTTTTCAGAAGTTTCAGTTTTTTTTGAGAGAGTTTTGAAAAGTTTTGATTTTGATTTTGAACTCTGTGGGGTTGTGGGATTTTGCAGGAGTGATTTCGGGAGCTCTTCTTTATATCAGAGATGACTTCAAGTCTGTGGATAGACAAACTGTGTTACAGGTGAAATTTTGTTAATCTCTTCTTGTTATTTCCATCTCTTTGTTTGTAATTAACCAAATTAATCATCTTTTTATCATTAAATTGATTTATGTTTTGTATAGTTCAGCGAACTTCATTAATTGCTGTCCTCAAACTGCAGATGGGTTCAAAAGTACCCTTTTTCCAGCTGGCTGATTTATATATTAAACAATATTTTAACTTGTATTATTAAGATTATTTTGTAGCACGATTCAATATGTTTGTTAAAGTTAAACTTGCTGGTTATGTTTAGTGTTACGTCACTTGATAAATCTATGGTAAAATCTCATGGTACTGCAAAAATATGGAATAAAATTTGGCCAAGCATTAATATTCAAAGAAGTTATGAATGTTGAACTGTTATTTGTAAACAGGAGAGCATAGTTAGTATGGCTGTAGCCGGAGCGATTATTGGAGCTGCAGTTGGTGGATGGATGAATGATCGTTATGGAAGGAGAAGCGCGATCCTGATAGCTGATTTTCTCTTCTTCATTGGTGCTGTGATCATGGCCTCAGCTCCGAACCCAGCTGCTCTTATTATCGGTCGTGTTTTTGTTGGACTTGGGGTGGGAATGGCATCAATGACAGCTCCCCTGTATATCTCTGAAGCTTCTCCAGCAAAAATCCGCGGAGCCCTTGTTAGTACCAATGGTTTTCTCATCACCGGTGGACAGTTCCTCTCTTACCTTATCAACTTAGCCTTTACTAAGGCTCCAGGGACATGGCGGTGGATGCTTGGAGTTGCTGGCATTCCAGCTCTTCTGCAGTTCATATTCATGTTGCTTCTTCCAGAATCGCCGCGTTGGCTATACCGTAAGGTACTTCTATCATTGCTCCTTTCAAACTAGTTCTTCTGCATGTTTTCTAAGTATCAACTAACCAATCATATATTCTCTAATTTACAGGGAAGAGAAGAAGAAGCGAAAGCGATTCTACGGAAAATCTACCCTGCCCACGAGGTTGAAACAGAAATTCAGGACCTAAAAGAATCAGTTGATAAAGAAGTTCAGGAAGAAGGATCTTCTGAGAAGATAAACTTTATCAAACTATTGAAAACCAAAACAGTGAGACGAGGACTTATAGCTGGAGTTGGCCTTCAGGTTTTCCAACAATTTGTAGGTATAAACACAGTTATGTATTACAGCCCTACCATTGTTCAGTTAGCCGGTTTCGCGTCCAACCAAACTGCACTCCTCCTTTCACTTGTCACTGCTGGCCTCAATGCCTGTGGCTCCATTGTGAGCATATACTTCATCGACAGGACTGGAAGGAAGAAACTTCTAATCATCAGCTTGCTCGGGGTTATAATTTCTCTGGGACTTTTATCAGCAGTATTCCATGAGACTACTTCTCACTCACCGATGGTTAGTCTGGTCGAAACATCTCATTTCTCAAACACCACTTGCCCAGATTATAGTGAAACTGCAAAAACAGAGAGGTGGGATTGTATGAAGTGTCTGAAGGCTTCATCTCCAGATTGTGGCTTCTGTGCTTCACCTTCTAATAAGGTAAAACACATTTCCCCTTCTTCACATCAGAAAATAACAAGCAAAACAATACTAATATACTCTTCTCTTCTTTTATTGCAGCTATTTCCCGGGGCATGTTTGGTCTCCAATGACGACGTCAAGAAATCATGCCATAAAGAGGGCAGAGAGTGGTACACAAGGGGATGCCCAAGCAAATATGGGTGGCTCGCGCTAATTGGCCTGGCACTCTACATCATATTTTTCTCTCCTGGAATGGGAACTGTCCCATGGATTGTGAATTCTGAGATCTATCCTTTGAGGTTCCGAGGGGTCTGTGGAGGAATAGCTGCCACGGCAAACTGGATATCAAACCTCATTGTGGCACAATCCTTCCTATCTCTGACTCAGGCAATTGGAACATCCTGGACATTTCTAATATTTGGGGTCATTTCAGTCATAGCTTTGATCTTTGTTCTAGTATGTGTTCCAGAAACTAAAGGGCTTCCAATTGAGGAAGTTGAGAAGATGCTGGAGCTCAGAGCTTTCCATTACAAGTTCTGGGAGGCGAGGCCTAAGCCATCAGAAAAGGGTAGTGCTGCTTGAAGAACAAGAATCTAATAATAGGAATATTTATATATTGAAATCAAATTAGGAATCCCTACAGACTGGGCAATGTAAGTTCTTTATGGTATTCATGAAATCAACAAGTAAGGGATGTATTTCCATATAGAAAGCATGCCTCCTTAAGTCACTATTTTCAGAGGTTTCTTTCACTTTTTTCTCTTTTTAGATTTCTAAGCCATCTTTACCATAGAGTTGGAGACTGCTTGCATTATCAATTTGCAAAGCTAATATAATGCATATTTCAAAACAGCTTTGCCCCATCTCCAAATCAGTCACCCTAACTTTAATCAGCTCAAACCAAACTACACCAGTGATTTAATTTCACAGGAATCGGTCAAAGTCCAAACATCAACGAACTATTGGTTGAATTTTTCTGCTATATTAGAGATGACGCACCTTATATTAGCAACTATTAATTATCAATTCTTTAAAAAGTTTGCTGCAACTAAGTCATTATTTCCTTAAGAATAATAGGGTCAGTGACTTGTCCTTGTTAGAAGGATTATTTTGTTAGCTTTATTTTTCACAAAAAATTACACAGTTAAATAAAAGAAACTGCAATAAGCAGAAATCGTTATAGCAAAGCTAATACTCATGAACCACTTGGCTTGTAGCCAGATAGCAAGACTTTAGGTTACCCAGAGGTCTGGTGTTTGAGTCTCACCAAGTGACTACCTACCACATTTGTTATTTACCTGCGGTGTTCAATGGACTCAAGGGATCAGTTGAGGTATGCGCAAACTGGCCCAGACAGCCCGATCACCCAAAAAAAAAAAAAAAAGCTAATACTCATGGTAATAAGGCAAAGCTAATTTTTGTACAAAAATCCTTGAGACATATCTTCTTATTTCTAAATATGATTGTAGCATATCCACTAAGAAAATGTGTGCAAATCAATGGTCCAAGATACTAAAACAACTGCAAGCTGGAAAGCCAGAAATTTATATCTTTTGCTTTAAATTAGCACTAAACATTGTCAAATTCAGCTCTAGATAAACTTGAACTAGCCCCCACCCTGAAGCCCAATTTCTTTTTTTGACTTCAGTTTTTCACATCAATACAATACTAAAGATCTTAAAGCCTGAATGCCTGAAGACCTAAATCAACATTGATCAAAAGTCCATACCTCAGGCAATATGCTCTGCCAAAGTAAGGATCTTGACATGCTTTTTCTTCCTCAGCTCATGTGGAACTGGCCCAAATACTCGAGTCCCAATTGGCTGGCCTTGTTTGTCAACAAGTACTACAGCATTGTCATCAAATTTGACCTGACTCCCATCACAACGGCCACGCTGCATGGCAGCACGTACGACAACACCGTAAACAACCTTTCCTTTCTTCACTTTACCATTTGGCATAGCTTCCTTCACTGATGCAACAATAGTGTCACCCAACCGAGCCCCCTTTTTCCCCTTCAGAGCTTGTATGCACATCACCTTTTTGGCCCCAGAGTTGTCCACAACTTTGAGGACAGTCCTCATCTGTATGAAAGTCCTGTGCTGCTGTAAAAATGCAAACTGAACGTTAGGTTATGTTTACAAAGAGGTTATAAAGAGAGGACCAAAGAAACTAATCTTACAAAACAACGTTGCCAGCTGATTGATTCAATCTACACCTAATAAATCAGAAATTCACAACGCCCTGGCTCTAGATAAATAAAGTTGTGGAAAAGTTGGTCTATGCATAAGTTGTTTCCAGGGACAAGAAATACAAAATACCTTCCTAAATATTTAAGGTCAATGTAAGTATAAGAATTCACAATTTATAGCCTATCAAATATCACTTCAGTCAACTGTTTTCAACCTATTTCCATATACAGTATACAAGATTACAAGAACATTACTTCTCAAACTGAATATATTATACAAGATTTTATATGTTTCATAACATCGATTCAAATAAAAAAAAAAAAAAAAAAAAAAACTACAACAACAAACTTAACACTCACCTGAGAGAAGAAATTGCAGGCTGTCATCTCAGTCGATGGGCTCAGTAAACTAGACAAATTGTTTTCTAAGCCCCCAAACAATGAACGGCTCACTAGTTTTGTTGCCCAACATGCAAATAAAAATCCAATGAGTCAAAGAGGAAACATTTCAGTAAAGCAAAAAAACTGAAAACAAAGTTTTGTACTTTTATCAAAGGAAATATGAGGTTAGTAAGGTAAAATGCAGATTGACATATTGCAAAACATGCATTGAAAATAAGTACTGCCAAACAACATCAACAACGTAGCAAAAATACATGGTGAATTGCCCAAAATTACCATGTGAATTTGTTAATCAATTCAAGAAATATACTCTAGACATTAATTTAAAAGCAGTTATTCAGTGACAACACCATTAGAACTCCGCACCAAGTAAACAAATAATTTGTCAACACATCATTAAAAGTGAGGTAAGCAAGCTAACAAATATTGGTAGCAAAGATAGTTCCAGGGAAAATCCCCATGACTTGCTGATCAGGCAAAATTTCATTGACTTATAAAGTAGAGGAGGTGTGGCGGTTTCCAACCAAACACATTGCCTTAAGCAAAATATAGAAGTTGAAAACTCAACAAACATTCAAATTAATTGCAAAATTAAAGCATACCAATTAACTTTTGTGATTATTAAGTTTTAAATATAGCTCCCTACTTTAAACATGCACCAAATGTTACATCATCTAAAAGAAGTAGAGCAACCAAGATTTTCAACGCTTTTTCTACAAATCAAAAACTCCATATGGACACGGCCATGATTTAATTTAAGAACCAGCTTAATCAGATACAATTACGTATTTAAGTAGATAACTAATCGCATGAAAAATATTAAACTCAACCAAATTTAACAATGTGAAGCTTCAACTCTCATATTATAATATCAATAACAAGTTGCCTATCATTGCGTATAGCTCTTTGTTAACCCATATCAATGAATAAGAATTCCTCATATAAACTGCACAACTATGAATAAACTCACAATAAATTAATACAAGAAAAAACCCACTACCAAAAAAAAAAAAAGAAAGAAAGAAATCACATACCACGAGACCATTTAGAAGCCAAACTTGCCGCCATCTCTGAAATTAAATTCCCAACCTTGATTAAAGCAAAATCAAGAACTTTAATTAACGTTCATGTTTTTAGAAATAAACCCTAAAACTTCTTAATAAAACAAAAGAGATTTAGAGAACTAACCTGGAATGGTACAACTGAAGCGAAGTAAGCTTTAACTGGTAGAGAAGCTGAAAAAACCTAAAACTATTTGAGAAAGGGAAACGACGAATTATCTGTATTTGGGCCAGAGCCCAGAAAGTTGTAGGCCCAGTCCAACCACAAAGTGGACAATATTTTCTAAATAATATACTGAGTTTTGATGTTTAATTTAACAAAGGGTTTAATATGACAAATTAAGATAAAAATATGTTAGTCAGAAAAGGGCAACCCTAATGAGATATTGTTATTTCAAATTCTTAGAGAGGAAAATTGTTATTTAAAGATACTGCAAGGGAGAAGTTGCAATTAACTCTATTATCTAAAAAAGAATATTATTATTATTGTTTTTTTTTTTTAATTAAAGGGGGCGTTTGGATCAGGCGTATATAAGATAACGGGGGTAATCTTCATTTATTTTGTAGGATTCTAGTGTTTGGTTTGTAAGTGATAAAATATTACATGAATCTTTTATTACAAATAGTATTTACTGTTGGTTATGTGGGGAGTAATCCAATACCCTTCCCACCCTTAGGATTAAAACATTACCAGGGTAATCTGATTTTTCTATCAATTTTGCCCTTAATTAAAAATCATTTAAAACACAACTGCCCTAAAATGTCTACCAAATAATAATTACCTAGCCCCCCTACATTTGAGAAATTGCTAAAACATCCTAGTCACAAAAAAGTTTAAAAGTTAACAAAATACCCCTAGCCACCCCAAACCACCGCCGACCGTCTGTGTCGCTCGCCGTAATGGTGCATGACCGACGGGATCTAGCTGGTGATGCACCGGTAAGGCCTTTTCCGGCCATGAATCTATGATCTATGGTCAAAAACGACCAAATCTGACGTTTCCGTGGCAGTTTCATAGCCAAAGATCATAGCCACATATTTGGCTGTGAAAAGGTGAGATCTTTGGCTGTGAAATGGCACGACCACATCTTTGGTCGACAAATGGCTATAGATCTGGTTGTTTTCCCATTTTTGGCTTTGTCGACACACGACCAACCATATATGGTTAGTCATGCGCCATTTCGTCGACTGTTGGCGGTGGCCGGCGGTGGTGGCTGGCTGCCGGCAGTGGCTTGGGGTGGGTGGGAGTGATTTTGCTATAAATTAAAATTTTATACGGTTGGGGTGTTTTAGTAAAATTTCAAATATAGGGGGTTAAAAGAAATGATTCAAAAAATAATAATAAAAATTACTATTATATTAATATTTAAAAAGGACGGCAATTTAGTAATCTATATAACATACCCACCAATTTTTCTTCCCAACCAAACATATCATTCACCAATTTATTCTAACCAACCAAACACATTTTCTAAACATTCTCAGTAATCTTCAAGGTAATCTTTTTTTTCCGTTAATATAATATCTTTCTATAATAAAATATTATATGATCCAAACGCCTATACCTCAACTACTTCTCGGGAAAGACTAGTGCAACAACCCATCGTCACAGCCTCCCACTTAACTCTATTCTATAACCTAAACCTGTTGAGAAACCGCATGACATTATATTTGACAATTAACCCATTGGAAAATTGGCATTCTCAGGTTATTATTGAACGAAATAGAGACAACAACAGGAACAAAATATAACAATAAAACAGATCAAACAGTAAACAAAGAAAATAATATGCGCGATTTACCTTGGTTCACCCAATGTGGTCTACATCTAGCTGAGTCAATATTATTGCAATATGTCTCACCTCTCTTGTTTACAATGAATGAATTGCCCTATGATTTGCTATCACACCTATAATAAGAGAAAATTATGTTTATATACTAGGTTTAAGAGACCAAACCTAGTTTTACAAGGATTCCTATTCCTAAGCCCAACCCAATAAGGAATTAGTAACTTAAAAGAAATCCTACAATGGTTATACATGGAAAAGCCCAAAACCGCCTACGGGACCCCCGAGTGCGTCTGCGTTACTCATTAATGCTGAAGTAGTCGACAACTCCAACAATTATTACTAGTTTGACGATTGATTGACAAAATCTTAGATTCAAGTTAAGTATAATTTTGCCTTCCTCATACATACGAGGGTTGGTGAAATTAAAAAAAGGCTTTGGTATTAAAAGTTATAGTTTAGTGATAGTAACAAGTTATTCGAAAAAGCAATATATAGCAGTGATAAGTATCTGGGCAAAGATCAACCACAGCTTGGTGATGCGATTTATCTACTGTGATTGCTAGATATTTATCTGAATGTCAACTAACCTGATAAGAATGTAGTAATGGTGAAAACACTTTCAAACACAACTTATTCAATTTTTCAGGCCAAAACCCCAACTGGGTACTGCCACTTTTGCATGTGCTAATTAAATAAGCTGCTACAAACTGTAAAAAATTTTCATGATATTCTGCAGGCTGAGCTTCTTTGTTGTAGCTTCAGTTACAGCTTTAGCTGTTTCTCCGATCAACCATATTGACTCTTTCAAGAAGACTAGATCCTCAAATATCAAACACTCAGGTGCTTCATTTTTTTATTTTTTTCTTTCTAATTTTATGGATATTTGTTTGCAATTCTGCTAAATATTTCATGGCTTCAGTACAAATGTCAGTACTCAATAATTCTTTGTGGTGTTTTACATGTACTTAGAGAAAAATGGCTCAAGCTTTAAAGAGATTGAAGGAGAAGATGAAGAAGATAAGATTGCAGATAACTTACCATTACTCTTTTTCTCTCTTTTACAAATACTCAAAAAAAGGAATGGAAATTAATACAAATATGAAATAATTAACATTAATTTCACTTGTAGTAGGATGAGAAGGCTCAGCAAGAAGAGGAGGTTAAAAGGATCAGAAGGAAGATGAAAACACATATTTTGATGAAGGAATTAGAGAAGAGGAAGATGGTGCTTGAGAGAAAACTGCTTGAGCTATATGGACTAAAAGAGTAGCAAGAATTCATTGCTCAAATGCATAGGCATTTAGAGGAGAAGATGACAGAGATTGATATGCTCGGTGGCACTGTTAATACATTGCGCGATGACATATAGAATCTTCAAGAAGAGATAAAGCAGAATATCTTTGCAAATCGCAGCTAGAGAAAGCGAAAAAAACAGTGGAGGAATTGGAAAAGAAGATGGATGTCAATGCATGCCATATGAAACAGCATTTGATGATGCTTGAAGAACAAGTATCTGAGTTTCAGTGCAGTAAAGGAAACTATACTGACAATGGCATGATTGAGAAGAAGCTTAAAGCCGCGAAGCATGTAGAGTTAGAATATGCGGAGATGCAGAGGATAAACAAAGAACTTGAGCTGGAAAAGAGGGAATTGACAGTTAAGTTAGTTAGTGCTCAAGCTAGAATTATTTCCGTTTCCAACATGACACAGGTAATTTATAATGTGTTCAAAAGTCCTCATCTCTTTCTCAATATTAAACTAATTGATGAGGGAAATCTTTGTTTTACAGGATAAAATCTTGGGAAAGATGGAGGAAGAGATGAGAATTTTGAGGCATATCAATGAAGACCTGTTGAAAGAAGTCGAAAAGCTGCAGAGAAATAGGTTTAATGTGGTTGAAGAACTGGTTTACCAGCGATGGCTTAATGCTTGTCTAAGGTTTGAAACACATAAATATCAAACACCATCAAGAAACATCTCATGTGATCTCAACAATTATGCAAACCGCAAGGCTGAAAAGGAAGATAAACAACTAGTATTAGACCTCGGTTTTTACAGGATTTCTTCTCCCACTTCATCTTCAAATGAGGGCAATGACAGTTCCACTAGCACTGAAAGCTCTTCAAATAGCCAGAAAAGTGTCAATAGTAATAAATCTGGTTTTGTGCATAGCATTAAAAGGTGGGAAAGAAGTAGCAAGGATGACTTCAGTGCTGCTTCATCACCAGATAAGTCATGCCGAAGAAGTCTTTTTACCAGAAATGGCCTAATTCGTCGACACTCTACTTCAATGGTTCCATCAAACAGGCCTAAAATGGTGCAAGAGTCCACCGAGTCTCCGGACACACTGAATTTCCCGCGTGTAAGGAGAGTTTCTTTTTGTGATTTAGTTGAAAATAACGTGTACTGAGAAATCTGAACAAAGCTCAACCCTGGATGGCAGCCCCAATTGGAAGCTAAAGTTATTTTTGTATTGTGACTAATCTTGCAGGTTGAAGGATTGGTATTGATTTACAACAGCTCTCCATATGTTTCATGCTTGGAAGCTATCGAAAAGAATAGCTTGAATAGATGACTTGGAAGAAGGATTGAATCAGAGGAGTTGCATTCAAGAAAGTTCAATGATTTTGGTTGTGAAAATCAGGCTGAGACAAGTATTTTCCAGCTTGTGGCTGCTTTTCTATTCTTTCTTTTCATGTTGCTTGTTTATTTAATTAGTTGCTAATCACACATGGGATTATCTCTTAATTCCCATTGTGTTTTTTTATGAACATTTGATGGTAGAAAAGTATATGGTCTATGATGGGTCATATTGTAAAAATCTTCTTTCTTATTTATTAACTATAAATTATAAACCTGATTAGTGTATTTTCAAATTAACAAAGAATTTTATGTACTAAATTTCTGAAGACATCTTGTGTTCTTGTAAGCATTTAAAGCACATTTGAACTTTACATTCAAATTCTAGTTTAATTTAGAGTAGAATTTTTTTATTTTTTTTATTTTTTAATAACTGGAGTGTTTAGATCAGTTTACGCGTATCTCAACTAATCTCCATGACCCATTGAATAACCTATAAGCTCAAAGGATAAGATAAGTCGCAATATGATAGATAACTCCAAGGTTTGAACTCAAGAACCCAATAAAGAAAATAATTTTTTTTTTACTGCAAGGACCCTTTTAAGGTTTAGAGTAGAATATTTGGTATAGGCAAAGCCCAAACATCCACTTTTAAATTGGGCCGAGTAGCCCAACTCAAACAAAGAAAAGACTTTAATGCTAAGGGCACTCACTAGACTTACTAAACCCTAGTTTTCAAAGAAACCCAACAAAAAAATGATGGATTTAGTTATTAACTTGTGGCTCAAATTATCTTACTAAATGAATTATCATTTTGTTGACTATAATCACCTTAATTATACTCTTAATTATGAAATCTGACACCAGGATATTATAAGTGGTAATATTTATAGATATTTATCACTTTACATCTTATATCTCTATCAAATAAGATTGAGATTCATTCTTGTAATTATAGAGACGTGTTTTAGGTGAAAGATGCTTGTGTGAAACGAAAAAAGCAACGTTACATTATATCAATCAATATCTACTTTATTGGACTTTGTTAACTATGTATACAGGACAACATTAACCACCTACTTGGTTGCATTAATATCAATAACTATTTACTTGATTGGACCTAAAATAAAGACATAATTTCTGATAAGGTTATGATCCCACATGATGTCTAATACTTCTTGAATCCTCTTAACTAACTAAAAGCGACTTGAGATGTGAGAATTCGCTCAATTTAATTGACACATTACATTTTTTGTTCCACATGGATATAGTGTTGACCATACAATATTATTAGTTAACTTTTGGATCCTGAAAGATTTATTGAAGTATGCATAAGGTGATCAAAATATCTCGATTAAAAAAAATATTAATTAAAAAATGTCATAAAACCTTAATATTCTTAGTTTTAATTGGTATAATAGCATTTAAAATACAAATATATGAAAGCAAATGAGCAATAAACACATAAAATTGTTTTGTTGGATCCTGAAAGATTTATTGAAGTATGCATAAGGTGATCAAAATATCTCGATTAAAAAAAATATTAATTAAAAAATGTCATAAAACCTTAATATTCTTAGTTTTAATTGGTATAATAGCATTTAAAATACAAATATATGAAAGCAAATGAGCAATAAACACATAAAATTGTTTTGTTGGATCCTGAAAGATTTATTGAAGTATGCATAAGGTGATCAAAATATCTCGATTAAAAAAAATATTAATTAAAAAATGTCATAAAACCTTAATATTCTTAGTTTTAATTGGTATAATAGCATTTAAAATACAAATATATGAAAGCAAATGAGCAATAAACACATAAAAGTGTTTTGTTTTCCACTCAAAAAGAAAAAGTAAAAACAAACCCACTTCTAGGATTCCCAAACTCTCTCATTTCTCTCCACGCGTCCCCCTGCATGTCTCAAACAAACCCACCTGTCCCCCCTAACCGCAACTCTTCCTTCTTCTTCTTCTTCTTCTTCACCTCACCTCTCTTCAACACTCCCCACAAACCCCTTTCTTCTTCTTCATCACTCTCTCTTCATCTCAAAATTCAATGGCCGAACGACACGCCACCCACCAGCGGCCTTCCCGACTCAACCCGCCCCTCAACGGCAACTCCTTCCTCCGTAAACTCCAAGCCCACGCGCCCAACTCCACCCAACTCATCGGCTTTCTAGCCCTTTTCATTTCCGGTTCCATTCTCCTCCTCCTCATTGGCTTAACTGTCACTGCCACCATTCTCGGACTCATCTTCTTCGCGCCTTTGCTCATCATTTCCAGCCCTATTTGGGTCCCCATAGGCACCATTTTGTTCCTCACCGTTGCCGGGTTCTTGTCGGTTTGCGGGTTCGGAGTGGCCGTCGTGGCCGGGTTGTCGTGGATGTACAGGTACTTCCGGGGGCTCCATCCTCCCGGTTCGGACAGGTTCGACTACGCGAGGAGCCGGATTTATGACACTGCGAGTCACGTGAAGGATTACGCCAGAGAGTATGGCGGGTATTTGCAAAGTAAGGTGAAGGACGCTGCTCCTGGCGCTTGAGGGTAGATCGGCGGGCTCACCTGTGTTGAACCGGGTTTTGCTTTGTTATTTGGGTGATATTAATTATTATTAAGGGTATTTTTGTTTTTGTCTTCTTGTGTTTTTGGTTTTGGGTTTAATGAAAATATAGACCTCTCAATTTTGCATGAAAGTTAGTGTTCTTTGGTTGAAAGTGGAAACAAGGGAGAACAAAAAAGAAAAAGGAATTTTATTGATTAATTTCCTTACTAATTTCGTAATTTTAAAAATAATGATAAAATTGATATATGTAATGGTGATAATTTGTAGTTTAACCACCACTGGTGGCCCAGTTAACCCTGCTTAGTAAAAACAGGTATGAAAATTTTACGGGTATGATACGAAAAATAGTAAAAAATATGTTTGTAAAAATTTGGATACAAAAAAAATATGATACGGATATATATGAGTTTAATACGATATATTATCAATAATATGTTTTAAAAAATTTGGTAATATTAATCTTGATTTTAGCACTTTTTATGGATCATCTTATTAAAATCAATATAGTATTTCAAATACAAAATATTCAATTAATTAATCTAATAATATAACATAAATAAATAATATATAATGGTATCCAATCTGATTTCTCAATCTCCTCGGCATAAATTTGATCAGGTTAAAGTTTTACCAGTGTTATTAGGAGCCAACCCACCGAACTTTAAATACTATTGTGAATATTTCCCTTATACGGAAAGTTGCTACCCCTAACCTAAACCACTTTCAATACTCATAAATTTTTTGAGCGTAATGACTAAATTTGTTGACTCTTCTGTAATTGTGCAACCCTATGTCAGAATATGTCCCACTCCCGCCGTCAAAGTTGTGGACTAATTAATGACACTGGCACTTTGGGAATTAAAAAAAAAAAAAACGGCATCTTTGTTCCTTCTTAAATAATGTTTTTTTTTTTTTTAAATTCGACCGAATTATAATTATACGGTAATTATTCGTGAATTATATAATTACAATATAAAATTCACTTATTATTCGGTTACACTAAATAAAATACAATAATTTACATATAATATGCAAATTATATGGCTGACCATATAATTCGTGTTTTATACACAAATTTACTAACAAATAGTCAACTAAAATTCTTAGATCTCTTAGATATATTACTTAAAAGTCATAAGTTTGATCTACCTAGATTACTAAAGGAATAGCTATTCCGATAATTTAATTGACAGTTAACTTTAGGCTTCGTGAAGTACACACAAACTAACCCGAACATACAATCACAATATATATATATATATATATATATATATAAGTAAGGCATGCTGTAATGATGGCAATAGATCGGGCCAAGACCAGGTACCCTTGGGCCTAGACCCAAGCCCGACCTCATGACAAAGGCCTAAGCCCGTCACGGGTATGACATGTAAAGCCTAAGCTTGACCCGACAGACTTTTTGTAACCTCGGGCCCGGCCCAAGCCCGTCTATTTTTATAATGTGAATTTTTAAATATTAATTTATTTTTAAATACTCACCAAATATATAAATAACTTTCCACAAAGTGCACCCATCCATCCATCCATGTAAGGTTTGAGAAAAATGAGTATATATATGTAGAATAATCTTGTAATTAAATATATATTATAAAGGTAATTTAGTATAATTAATACTAAAATTATTGGATCGGGTCGGGCTGGGCCTGAAGATATACTCAAATCTAACCCGTACCCGAGGTTAAGCCTTAAAATCAGGCCCAGACCTAAACCTAAGTCCGTAAATATTCGGTAAAGCCTAATTTTTTTGGGACAGGATGAATTGGGTACCCGAAAATACCGGGCCATTGCCATCTCTAGGCCATGGTGGACAAATGGGCGTGGGATGGTGGGACGGAATTGATTACTTAAGTGACCACCAAATGCACAACACGAGTATTCCACACTTTAACCCATATCATCAAAAACGACAAGCAATGCAAGTACTATTGTGTAGATGGTGAATTATGTATTTTATTAACTTTTTGTCTTTTTCAACTTTTCTAAACATATATTACACATTGATAATTTTTCACATTGTAGGAGGGGCAATTGCCCCTTACTGGCTCTCATGACTTCACCTATGTTTTTTAAATTTACAAGAGCCTTTATTATATATAATAGGGATAATTAATTCAAGGATAAATGTGGGATTCCAAAAGCAAGTAGTCTTAACAGAGAAAATTAGGGACTAATAACATCACTCTAACATTAATTACATATAATACGTGGTAGTTTTATAGATTATGTATAATATTGAAAAGAGAATAATAGTGGGTGTTTATTTATTAATTTTATAGTTTTAATAATCACCACATATGGCCTATAATACGAAGCAAATTAAAAAGCCTATAGATATTAAATTAAATTAAATCTAAATTAGTATATATCAGCATTCAAATATATTTAATACTAGTTAAGATGTCAATGGATTTTTTAATTTTATAGTATGTTATTGAAATTGCTATAAATTTTGTTAGGAATATGGCCTAGATGCAAGACGTTTTTCGATGATAAACATTTCAATACTAGATAAAACAGTTTTATTATGATAAACTTGATAACTTAATCAAAACAATATCTAAGGCTGCGTTTGGATAATTATTTTTATCCATATTTTGAGTATGATTTTGGGAAAAGTGTTTGTTTTATTATCTACATAATAGAATCCTGAAAACTCTTTTCCGACATTTTGCTGACAGCTTTTTGACCTTTTTGAATTTTTTCTGCAGACGCATTCTCTTTTCTTCTTTCACGCCTTCACTTGTTTTTTTTCAGTCCTTTTTCACGGTTCGTCATTTCTTCTTTCACGCTTCTTTATTTATTCTTAGTACGGTTAATGAGCAAGTATATTGTGATCGTTAAAACGGGATAGAATATGGGCGAAATAGAGAAAGACCGAGTCAACCACAATAAGGTATTATAGACAACATGATGACTGTATGGGATAACATAACGAATACACTGTGGGCAGCACAGTAGACCATGTCGTAGTTGTTAATGGAGTATACGTGTAATAATGATTGTAAGAGTTGATAATTAGTACTTTTGTCATATATGTATTAATGTGATGTTTTTAAACAGTTGGATTAGTACTTGAAATTAATATGAATTTTTGTTTTTTAATATATACGGGTGACAAAATTACCAATAAAATATTTAGTATTATTAAAATGTAACTTGATAAGTTATATGTATAATAATACATTATTTTAACAAAACACAATAAAATATTATATTAATAAATCATTTATAAAAAAATATATTAATCAAATATTCAACACAAATATCAAGGTCAAAATACTTTATTAAACACATATTTTACAAATCATATTCTCGTAATCATAACTTTATCCAACTATTCAATACTATCCCTAAAATCCTATCTAAAATAATAAACCAAAGACATCCTAAGTCTCCTGAACCTGGATCAATGTGAATAATTATTTATAAGAGGGGTTATATATAGGAGACATAGTTCTTTAGTTAAGATTGTGTTGCTTGCCTCAATGAGGAATGCCAGTCTCAAAGTTATTAAAGTGGAGACTTTTCGACAAAGACACGTGTATTTAGAATGCACTGAATGGACCATGTGGATTTTATTAAACATAAAATTCACACTCTTGACAATTTAAGGCATGTTTATCTAAATCATGAGTGGATAGATTGACTATTGTTTATAGTATGTTTTCTTTCACTAGAATAAAAGGTGAAACCATATGTATTGATCTGTTTACAAGTCTTAAAACACTTGTAAACTTGAGTGAAGATGGAATTGCAAATCATAACACACTTACAAATTCGATTGAATAAAAAATAGTCAATCAAAGTCCTAAAGCACTTGATATATGATATGTGGATCACAAGAATTGTAATTCAGCTCAAGTCTAAGGAAGGAAGCTAGCCCAAGTTATCCAAAATTCGGCCCAAGCTCAAGAAGAAAAATTAGCCCAAATTATGCAAGGAAATAACTTAGCCCATGTGCATAAAGGAGACATTTCAGCCTAAGCCCATTCAAGCACAAATTTTTCAAGTGAAGTCAAAGTCCAACAAAGAAAATGCCTAAGCATTCAAGAGGTCCAAAACAACCCATTATCCAAGCCCAAAGAGCATTCCCATGCTATTTCATTTTGGGGTCCCTTCAATGAATTCCAAAGCCCAACCTCATGTACTCTTATTAGTAGGGTTTAATTAATTATTGTTATGTTTAGTTAATTATCCTAGGTGACATATTTATTTTACTTAAGTAGTTAATTACCCTTGTAATGCTACTATAAAAGCAAACCCTCTCTCATTTTGTAAGGTTGAACAATGATATTAAAAATTAAACACTTGAGAAGAATGACTTTCTTTTTGTCTTGAAATCTTTATCCAAGTCTTGACGAAAGATTTGGTGATGATTCAACTTCAAGTTGGTGGATAAATCTTTTATGCTTGAAGATTTCTTCTTGTCTCTATCCCTTTTTTGTTTAAGTAAGTGTTCTTGTGTTTCATCCTACCTTGACCGAATTTCTAATGGTAGTTAGTGTTATTCAAATCTGGTTGTATGTGTTTTGTGTTGTGTTTTGCATGATTTTGGAGTTGAAATACCCTAGATAGTTGAAACGTGAATGAAGGTTGTGAAGAGTCTAGCTTGGCCGATTCCATGTGTGTGATGTTGTGATGTTTCTTTGAGTTTTCATGTTGGTTTTGGATCACGTATATGGTCAACACTCTTGCTAGTTGGGAGAATGTTTTTATAAGCATTGAGAATTTCGATCAATCGATATAAAATTCATAACTCCTGAATTAGATAAGACTATCAACTTAAAGATTTTTCAAGGACTTGGATAATAAACTTGGCACTATGTTTATATTTGTATACATTGTGACAACCTTAATTATCTATTAGATGAAAAATGGTCTCAATGGATTAAAATGTAATTAAAGGGGTTAAATGGTAATCTTCTCCTAGCTCCAATTATTGATATTCTATGAGGATACACATGCAATTTATTAATTGCGATATGGAGATTGACTTTTATATTAATTGGATTAATTTATTAAAGTTTTCTTAATTGAGTATTTAATTAAATAGTTCAATTTTGGGCTTTAGTGGAATAGCCCGAAATTAATGGATTAAGACCCATTGTATTT